ACGCATAGGAAAGCTCGTGCCTGGTAGCTCTGCAGCCTGGAGCAGGGGACTACATCACAGTGGGGCTGCCAGTGTGCTCCAGCTCCCCATCCAGATCATCCCTGGTTTGGAATAGGGGTACTTCTAACACAGTTAAAATTAGGGGCCTGGGCAAGCAAACATCCCTTTTTTGGCACAGGCACATAGCTGATGTATGTGTTGTCCTAACTGGGGTGACCTTTTGGAGCAGGGGGTCTGTTAATGCCTTCTGTTTCTGTTCTGTGCCTTCCTTACTGCCCAAAACCGCTGGGAGGTGACCAGCCATGGTGTGTGGTTTGTGCTGTATCATTGCCTGTCAGTCTCAGGCCTGAAGCTTGAAGAATAAAACTGGAGAGGGGGAAAAGGATTCTCCTCTTTCACGTGGAAGAGCAGCTGCCTCCCAAGTAAGCTGCAAAGCCGCTTCTTTACCTGCATGAGAAATGTCCCTCTGTTCTTGCAGGGTAATTCCCTGGTGTTTGCGTGACACATGGGATGGGAAAGGACAAGGTCTCACCAACCACCTGCATCTCAGAGCTGTTCCTCTGGGAGCTGGTTCCACAGCATGATGCTGCAGCTGCAGGGAAGGGGAACAGCTGGCCCTAGGCTGGGGTTTGTACGGGCTTCAGCCCCATTTCCTCTCCTGGGAAGCTCATGCATTGCTGCTTGGGGCCAATGACTGCAGACCTGGCTGAGGGAGCCTCTGCCTGCTTCTCTGTGGAGAGGCTGCAGAGCCTGGCTCATGGCTGCCGAATACAAATAGCCCTGCTTAATGAGTTCAGGGATGCCAATTTGGGAGAGTGCATGGAGGGTGGGGGCGGCTTCATGTATTTCAGATGAAGCAATCTGGGAGCGATTTTGCTCCAGGAGGAGAGAACAGCATGCAGGAAGGGCTCTGCTGCTTCACCTGCAAAATTCAGCTGTGGTTTCTGATGAGTTTGTGCAATTGGAAAATCAGTCCATCCTCAAGCATGGAAAGAGGACAAGGAATGATCCCTTCCATAGGCCTGGAGCCCTTCCATCCTTGCTAGGCTGAAGCTGGAGAATCTAATCTTCTTCAGAAATCTTGTCCTGGCTTTGTTCCTTCTCATTTGTATCCCGTATTCCCTTTTTGACACCAAATTATCCAAATTTGTTTGTTTGTTTTCAGTAGGCCTTGGGTAGGCAATGCTGACCCAGATCTAATTGGGTTCTGGCTGCTCCTGAAGCAGGTCTGTGTGTCTGTGTACACGTGCATGTTTTTGCATAGGCCACCAAGGCACATGGCTGGCCACAGCAGGGGATACGTAGGAATGGGACTTTACCCCTCTTTCTGCTCTGGCAGAGGGTCACAAGTGTGGCACATCAGCCCTAGGCATGTGGAGGCCCCGCTGGGAGGATGAAGCCAGCTCTGAGCCTGTGCTTCCATTTCAAACACCTCCAGCATCAGCACTGCAGGAAGAAGGGGGAGCTGCTTTAGCTCCTCCTGGTTGATAATTCATTACTGCCTGTTAGCCTGGATCTATCTGGCAAGAGCTACATCCTGGCACTGACGTGTTAATTTCACGGATAAAATGCTATATCAAAATGCATCATCGATACATTCTCCCTGAACCATTTCTCAGCCGTCGCTCCTGGGCAATTTACATGCAGGAGCAGTCCAGGCAATTGGGGCGTTGTGTTCCTAATGGATGCCTGGCACCAGCTGGAGCCATCAGAGCCGCAGGATCTGTCCTCCAGCTCCAGAGAAACACAGCAGGATCCAGCCGCGATAGGCAGGGAGGCAGGGGGTGCAGGCTCCATCCGTGCCGTGCTCAGATCTAGAAGGGGGGAAGCAGGCTGTGTGCACACGGCTGGTTGATCGCACACCATTTTGCAGTGATGCAGAAGTGCAGCATTCTCCCCCTCCATCCTCTATCTCTAAGCACCCTGACTTTTGTCTGATGCTGGTAATGGTCAGAGCGGTTGAAAATCTCCCCTCTGTGGCTGAAAAGGCAGAATGGGGATAGGACAGGCAGACAGAAGATGTACTGTGTTGTTGCGCAGCTGGTGCAGGGGGACTCTCGCCAGCCTGGAGCAGGCAGTGAGGAGCAGCACCCTACAGAGATACCCAGGGGGTAGGTTGGCTCTCACTGAGCCTGGGGCTTTCCCACCGCATCCCCCAACCCCTCCATGATGGTTCTATGTGGGCAGCCATTCCCCATTCCCAAACCTAATCCAGCTGCCTTCAAGCATGCATCTCCCATCTTCCTCTCCCCTTGGCATCGCACAGGGCTCTTCCCCACTCTTGTGGCCAGCTGCATCTCCACCCAGCACCACTTCTGGGTGCTCAGCTGAGCTGGGCTGGGCTGGTCCATCCTGCCTTCTCGAGCAAGGAGCAGGACCCGGGCGGGGGCGACCGCATCCTGGAGGGCTTCCAACACCTTCTCGTTCTCCCATCCCTGCATCCCAGCCATCTCCCCACGGCTCCAGAACACAGTCTGGAACCCGCGGGACCCGTCGTGGCGGCGATGAAGGTCACAGCGGGACGGCCGCCGCCCAAAGGAAACGCGCCGGTCCAGCCAACCCCCCCGCCACCGCCCACCGGCGAGGGGGCGGGCCGTACCGGAGCCCCGTGCGGAGCCCATTGGCTGTCGGAGGGGAGGCGGGGAGCGGCGGGGCGGTGGCTGGGCTGCAGCGGAGGGCGCGGAGCCCAGAGCGGGCGCGGCGAAGCATCCTTCGGGCACCGCGGCCCCGGTACGGGCCGCTTCCCCCGCAGACCCCGGCCTCCTATGGGCGGTGCCGGCGTCCCGGCCCCCACACGCCCGTCCCGCTCGGCGTTAGCATGGGCACGGTGCTCTCCCTGTCCCCCGCCGCCTCCTCGGGCAAGGGCGGCGGCGGCGGGGGGCTGCTGGCCGATAAGGCTCCGGGCAGACTGCCGGGAAAGGGCGAGAGCCGGCTGAAGAGGCCCGGGGTGCTTATCTCGGCGCTCACCTGGAAGCGGCTGGTGGCCGCCTCGGCCAAGAAGAAGAAGAGCACCAAGAAGGTGACGCCGAAGCCCGGCGGAGGGCCCCCTCCCGGGACCCAGCCCGACCCGCTGGTGGTGCAGCGCAACCGCGAGAACTTGCGCAAATCGCTGGGAGGGCCGTCCGAAGGAGCCAAGCAGGGCCCGCTGGCCGTGCCGGTGCCCACCGTGCCCTCGGCGCCCCAGGAGCTGCACCCCGGCTCCGGTGGGGGAAAACCGCCGCCGCCCCCCGGTAGCCGCGCCCCGGGCTCGCCGCGCCGCGTGGTCGTGCAGGCGTCCACCGGAGAGCTGCTGCGCTGCCTGGGGGACTTCGTGTGCCGCCGCTGCTACCGCCTGAAGGAGCTGAGCCCCGGCGAGCTCATCTCCTGGTTCCGCAGCGTGGACCGCTCGCTGCTGCTGCAGGGCTGGCAGGACCAGGGCTTCATCACCCCGGCCAACCTGGTGTTCGTGTACCTGCTGTGCCGGGAGGCTCTGCGGGGAGAAGACATCGGGAGCCAGGCCGAGCTGCAGGCCGCCTTCCTCACCTGCCTCTATCTCGCCTACTCCTACATGGGCAACGAGATCTCCTACCCGCTGAAGCCCTTCCTGGTGGAGGGCGACAAGGGCCGCTTCTGGGAGCGCTGCCTGGGCATCATCCAGCGCCTGAGCGCCAAGATGCTGCGAATCAACGCGGACCCGCACTACTTCACGCAACTCTTCCAGGACCTCAAGAGCGAGGGCGAGGGCGGAGACGGGTCCAAGCACTGGACGATCAGCCTGGACCGCTAGGGAGGTACCGGGCCCCCGGGGACGGAAGGGGCCGCGCACCGAGGGGCGGGGGAGGCGAAAGACTGCTGGATCCCCCCCCCAACCCCAATCTTCCTCGCCTAACCCCCTTCGCGGAGACGCTGCCTGGACCCTCCCCGCTCCGGATCCGGCCGCTTCCCCACCCTCCCCCCTTCTGCCCTCCGGGACACCGAGACAGCGACGAAGACCGGGGGGAGGGGGTTGGCCTTCCGCCTGCACGACGGGGAGGGGGGGGGCTGCCAAGGTGCGGAGGCTCTTGGATATGTTTTCTTTAGGGAAAAAAGGAGAGGAAAGCAAAACAAAAACAAAAACAACAACAACGCCGCCCGGAAGGGAGGAGGGCGTGGGGGCTGCGGAGCCGCTGCGTGTCCCCGCGTTCCCCCTCAGCCACGAGCAGCGCACGGCCCCGCGCTGCTGGAGCTGTCCGTGGTGCTGAATCCGCCGCCGAGGCAGAGCCGAGCAGACAAAGGGCGGCGGGGAAGGAGGGGGGCGGGTTGGGGGGTGGAGGGGGGGAGGGGGGGGGCGCGGGCCTTTGTGTCACCGGCGCTGTTCGCTGCCCGGTTATGGGGAGGGGGGGGTCCTCCAAGGGAGTGGGAGTCCCCCGGGTGTGGTGGGTCCTTCAGCTGGGTGGCCACCTGCTCGTCCCTTTGTTTGAGCGGCTGGGAGGGGACGCTTCCTGCTCCCTTCCCCCCAACTCCCCAAGGTATAGCCCCGTAAGAAGGGCACCTGTGGGGTGAGCAGCGTCCCCCTTTACCCTTATTATCCCCCTCCCCACCTCGACTTGCTGTGGGGAATGGTGTATGTGCCAGAGGAGGCCTAGGGGGCTGGGGTGGGGGTTCTGGGTTTGGGGAGGGAGGGGTCCTCTCCTCTTGCTTTGCTTCACTGGAGAATAAAGAGGTGGCCTGGATGGGCCTGGTGCTGCCTCCCTGGACTTGCTGGGCTGTGGGGTGCAAAGGGGAGCTGGGGGTGTCCCCTCTCTTCCCCATGGGGATGTGGGAGGTTGATTCTCAGAGGGAGCCTTCCTCCCCATTGCAATTTGGGGAGGGGGGGTCAAAATTTCACCACTGTTTGCCGTGTCTGCCCTTGGCTCCCTGTGAGCAATCCTGGCCTCCTCCATTGCAGATGGAATGCCTGCTGTCTGCTGCAATGAATGTAACCAGGAGCCCACAGCTCACGTCACCTCCTTTTTTTTTTTTTTTTTTTTGCCTAAAGATACCCCACCCTCCCTCCTTCCTGCCTGTGCTCTGCAGGGCTAGACTGCTCTCTCTGGCAGCAGCAGGCTGTGGGAGCTGTGTTGCTAGCCCGATTAACAGCCCTGTACTTCTGCAGACCCCAGGGAGCAGGGTGGAGTTTCTCAGAGCTGGTTGCTATGCCTCCAGTTGCTCAGTTTTCTGGAGGCTCCTCAAGCAGGATCCCTTGCGTGTGCCCTTGTATCAGGGTCTGCATCTAGCACTTCCTCTGAGCCAGACCCTTGGGTTCTCCTCAGCTAGGAAGAGCTGTGCTGGCTCTGCAGGTCATGGAGGGTAAGCTGGATTCCCTACCTTTGTGTGCATCAGCAGAGCTGCTAATTAGGCCCAATCTGGCTCATTCAGGCAAAGCTGTGCAGCCAGGAAGACAGCACAGATGTCCCTGTGACGGGGTCTGAGCTGGCAGGGTGCTGTGCAAAGCTTTTCTGTGCTGCATGCACCCACTGAGACCTCTGCTGCTCCCATCCTCCCTGTCCCTACTATGTGCTCTGATCCCTTCTTTATACTGACATTTGTGTGACCTTGTGGGGGGCTGTCTTGGCCAAAATGTACTCACAACCTCATCTAACCCTGAATTTGGCTATACCCCTTTTTTGTGTTGAGGAGGGGGGCAGCTCTGACCTGCTCTGTCTCAAACTGACCTGGAATCAGATCCATTAGAGCTCCTATGGGGCTGCAGGGGGAATTCTGATGCTTCTCTACCGGTATTTTACAGAGAGGGAAACTGAGGTACAGTGTGATGAAGCAGCATGTGATGAAGTCTAGCAAGAAGGGTTTTCAACCACATGGGAGATGCAATCCAAGGGTACCAGCCATCTCTATCCTCAGCCAAGGCTGTTTGCAGACCTTAGGGCACCTACCCTGACTGCAGAGCTTCAGAGCTGCACAAGGTGCCAGTGCTCACCAAGGTTTCCCACCCTACAGATCCCCCATAGGGCCACTAACAGAGTCCTTTCAGCCTCAAGTCCTGGCATGTAAAATGCTCCCAGCTGCGGAGAGGCTGTGTCCTTCTCCTCCTCCCTTGTGTTTCATTGATTAAGAGTGCTGGGCCTCATTGGGGGATTTAGGAAGAGCTAATTGCAGACTGGTAATTGAAGACAGCTTGGAGTCTCTGGAAATGTCAAGGAATGGGAGACAAGCTCAGATGCTCCTGTGCATTTAAATACGCATCACCGGCTCAGCCTCAGCCTTGCTGACAGGAGATGTCTGGTTTTCCCTTCCCCCAGAGCAACCTGTGTGGCTGCTGGGAGAACAGGGAATGCAGATACCACCTTGCTCCCACTGGGATAGAGGTGAGACCAGCACGGGGGTGTTACTGGGAAGGGACAGGCTGCTGGGTGCAGCTCCTCCTGAGACTGCAGCATATTTCTGTTGCTTCCCACTAGTGTGCAACGTGTCCCCTCCAAGCTGTGTAATCACCAACGAAGGTTTTTTTTTTTCTGCCTACCGCTCACAAAGCAACAGCTCTGTGTGATCCCCCAGCCCTGCTGCTCTGCCTGTGGTGCATGCTCCGTGTGCTTGATGTGCTCATGGCAATGACACAGGGTACAGAGGAGGGGTGCTGTGGCAGCAGCCAGCCTGGTGAGCTATGCCTCCTGATGGACAGACAGCAAAGAAAATGTGCTCTAGCTATTAAAAGCTGGCAGCATTCCTCAGAGCTGCTCTATTGGGAGAAACCATCTCTAGCCTGTGTGGCTGGGTAGGGACCAGTACTCTGCAACACCCGCTGCCTTGCAGCCTTGGGTTGCAATGATGGATGATGGATAATGTGTTCCTCAAGGCAGATGGAAATGGGATCTATCTCTCCTGCCTCTGTGGGAGCTGTCTGGACACTGGATTCACTGTGGCTCTGAATTGCTGCTGCTCCACTGAGTGGGGAGGGTTTATGGGTTCAGGTGAGGCTAGGTCACAGCTGCAGGAGTCTAGGGGGTCTGCTAGATGCTGCTGCCTCCCTGTCTGTGTCACTCAGCTGCTGGATGCACAGCCAGGGGTACTCAGCTCTGTCTCAGGGCAGGACCCTGGGTTGTGGGGGGAGCACAGGGCTGGGCTCCCTCGTCAGAAGTCCTGTATTACAGCTTAATCTGGCATTAGCGCATTAATCCAGTCCTCCCCACAGCCCAGCCTGTGCCCTCTGCAGCATCCGGCCCAAGGTCTCAGTGCTCAGCTGGGCAGGAGATGCTCTCCTAGCCTGGACACCTGGGGGCTGGCTGGCTCCTTCCTTTCCTCAGGGTGTCTGCAGAACAGGTGCATGGAGACATCGCTTGGCCAGGCTCAAAAGGTGTCCTTGGCATGCAGGGTGGCTTTGGCAGCAGGGCACAGCCCTAGATCTGCTGCCAGGGCTTGAGCCCCCTAAGCAATGATAGGAGTAATGCAGTCCATGCAGGGAGCAAGGCTGAAGGAAGGCTGTGTGTCTGGAGGGAGGATGTGAGTCAACAGCTCAGCACAGGGGTGCTGGCAGAGCAGTTGGCATGTGGAGAGGGGAAAAAAGGTGGGAAGAGGGAGAGCTAGAGGGGGTGAAGGTGTGGGCAGGAAGGCAGACGTCACCTAGCTGTGCTGCAAAGGCTCTTCCCAGCATGAGAAATGAGACACGTGGTGATGAGTCTAAAATGGGAGAGGGATCCTCCATCCCTTACAGAGGGGCTGCGAGAATGTGGGGGAGCTGGGGCAGGGGGGGTCCACATCCTATACTGCCAAGGACAGGGCTCAGTCCCTCCTTCTTGCTGCTTAAGCAGAAGGAAGAAAAAACAGACGAAAAAAATGATAGCAGAATAAAACCCTCCTCCTGCCTTTAATGATGAGGCAGCACCAACAGCTCTGAGACTATGTGCAGACTGAGGCCTTTTGGGATCCTGTTCCCCACCTCATTCCTCACAGGGCACCCAGGGTTGGGGCTGCATTTGGTGAGCAGCAGAGCATGGACTGCAGCTGTGTTTCCCTCCAGCTCCTCTTCAACCTCATGGATGCAGGCAGTACTCATTCTCCTTCTGCTGTGTGTGAATGAAAGGGGCAGCATGGCAGCTGAGGCAGCAGGTAAGTCTGGAGCCTGCAGCCCATTGCTGGGAATGATGCTTCCACGTCACTCCCCTGGGCTGAGCACCCCCGGTCAGGGCTGGGGACGGTCGGTGCCACGTGTTGGGCTCAGCCCCGCTCAGCCATTGGTAGGATTTTGCTGCAGTCTGCTCTGAACCGATGGTTTTGGAGACGGAAAGGAGCAATGCTATTGCAGGGCTGGGGCAGGGGGATGCAGAGTGAAGAGCAGCTGTGCTGGGTGGGGGGCAATGCTCTGGACCTCTCCATTGAGCATCACATGGAGTGAACTGTGCCCAGTGGGGTCTGTGGATGGGAGCATTCCAGGTTGCCACGGTGACAGCACTGTATCCTCCATAGCTGGAGAGTCCTGCATGGGTACTCCACCTCCCTCCTGTCTGCCCCCCTCTGTGCATGATCCCTGCTTGTAGGGGGAATCCAAACAAGGGGATCCTGGGTGAGCTCAGAGTGGAGCCAAGCACACCCTCAGCCTGTCACATAGGGTGGGTAGTGTTTTCTTCATTTCCCAGCACACTTAGGTCCAGCAGGGTCCTTGTAGGGCTGGGAATGAGCAAGGAGCTGGGCTCACCTGGGCTTCCCTGCTGCAGGTGCTGGCAGAGGGACAGGAGTAGTATGGTGGCGAGGAGCTACTAGTGACCCACATCCCTTAATCCCAGTCCTGCCCCTGCGTCATGCCTCTTCCTAAGCCCTGACATCCGCTCCCCTAGTGAGGACTCATATCCTTGCTCTGGCTATGATGAAGCCAGCTATGTCCAGTTGCCCCTCCCTACCATTTACCTTTGTGAGGCCAAAATTGGAGAGGAGGGGGGAGTCTCCAGCATGAGTTCTTCTTGCTTCTGGAATGGAGGGAGCTTCTTTTCTTCCCCCTGTTCACTTCTTTGGACCAGCCTGTGCAAGGCTCAGGGACAGCAGAGGAAGGTCTCCCCTCGACCCCTCTAGGCATGGGCTCCCTGCATCACGACCCCAAGGCTCCCCACACTGCAGCCTGAGCCCTCCCTGGAAGATACACTACTGTCAGATCCCCTCTCTTAAGCTGATTAGAGGAGAGAGGATATGGCTGAGCAGATGCTACCAGGAGAGTGACTGGACCCTGGAGGAATGCAGAGGGCAGCACAGCCATCCCTCCTGTGTCTGCTGTGACCTGGGGGGCACAGGGAGAAGGACTGGCCACTCCCCCATGTGCTTGCATGGCATCAATCTGGCCTCAGCCCTGGCTCCATGAACACTGCAACCTTCCCAGAGACCCCTTATGGCACTGAGGACCCCCAGGTTTGGCTTGCTCCACCTGCAGCTGCCCCAGAGGGGTGTTCAAAGAAACCAGTTGTTCCCTCTATCTCTTGTATGTAAGAGCCAGAGGTGGTGATTGAGGAAAGCAAGGATTGCAGGATGAGTCAGGGTGGCTGCATTCCAGCCCCACAGTGCTCTAGTTTCAGATGGGGGGGGTTCTGCTGGCTAGTGCCCCCTGTTGCAGCCCCCTGCACACAGAAGCAGACACAGCTCACAGCACCTCTCCATTTTATTGAAGACAAATCCCTCCCCAGCTGGCAGAGCCCAGCACCTCTCCATCCACTGGGCCAAAGTCCTGCTCTGGAGGGTGGGGGCACTTCCTTGGACACCAGGCCTGCCCCTTGGTGCCCTGGGCTCCCAGCATTGCTGTCACTCCTGCTTTACCCAGCCTTTACCCAGCCTTACCTTGAGGTAAGGATGAAGGCAGGAAGCAAGGAGCTGCAAGGAGGATCCCTCGCCCTTGGGCAAGGCTTTCTGGGGTCTCCAGCTCCTGACCCCTCTCCTTTCGGAGATGGGTGGGCTAGAGGCTGAGCTGAGCACGAGGGGGCTTTGTGGGATGGGGCATGATTTCTCCTCCCATTTACCTCCACTTTAAGCATCCCTGTGCATTCCCTCATGAAAGATCCTTCCTCAATCTAAATGTAGATAGACACCTTCTGCCCTCCAACCACCCATACCAGGGAATCACTGCTCTTTAAACCTCAGCAGGGGCAGCTGGAGCAGGGCAGCATCCCACCCCCCACCCTTCCCCACCAAACTCCCCAACCCCACACCAACGGGATGGATCTGCCAAGCCTTAATGGTAGTGGTTGTTCATGTTGTTGAGGTGGGAGGCTGCCATGGCGCTGAACGGGGCCGAGGGCTGGAGGCTGTGCCCAGGGTAGAGAGATGGGCTGGAGCCAGGCCAGTAGGAGAAACCAGCCGGCGTCACCCCAGAGGTCATGAGGTTGAGTTTGGAGATGCCCGAGAAGGGCAGTGGGGCCAGATTGCCCTGGAATTTGTAGAGGGTGTGATCAGGGGCAGCTGGCTGGCAGACCTGTGCCAGCCCATGGAAGTCGAACTTGTAGGCATAGCGCTTGCCGTGCACCTTGGTCATGATGTTCTTGTCGTAGTAGTAGCGCAGCGCCCGGCTCAGCTTGTCGTAATTCATGTTGGGCTTGCTCTTCCGCTCGCCCCAGCGCCGTGCCACCTCATCGGGGTCGATCAGCTTGAACTCGCCATTGGTGCCCTCCCAGGCGATGCAGTTGAGGTTGGCCCGGTCCGAGAGCAGCTCCAGCAGGAATTGCCACAGCTGGATCTGCCCACTGCCTGCCCCAGAGAGGTCAGAGCTCCCGGTCAGAGCAGGGGGAGCAGGAAATGTCCCAACCACTTTCACCGCTGCCTTGCTGTCCCTTCCCATTTCCCAGTGGGTACCTGCTTGCTTGGATATTCAGCTCCTATCCCGTATTTCTCACTTGTACTCTGCCCCAAAATGAGGCTGGTGCCATAGCACAGCCCTGCCCATCTCCAGGGACAGAGATCCCTGCAGGGCGAGTGATGTCATGGTGCAACAGCGCTCTGAGCTGAACCCTGGCACATGAAAAGAGAGACCAGAGAACCCAGCACAGGGTAGTACATATTGTGGGTTTGTCAGGTACAAACATTCCTTGTTTCCAAGTAAAAACTGTCCTCTCTGAGGATGTTGCACCTCCAGGCTGCACTGAGGATACCCAATATGCCCCTGTGCCAGGCTGAGGATGCCGGTGCCCAAAAGAGCCTGGCACACCTGGGTGTGCCCACAGTGAGGCACACAGGCAGCTGCACTGAGGGAGGACAGAAAGGGTCCCAGAGCCCTAGGGTGATGAGCAGGAACAGCCACCCTGCAGATCCACACCCCATTTCCCCCACACTCACACCCATGCAGTTCCCCCTGCACATTCCTGCTCCCATCCTCAGATCCAGGGAGAAACTGTTCCTCTTCTACCCTTGCCCGTCAGACCCCACTCAGACATCCTGACCCAAGCAACTGAGTTCAGGTTTTTCCAAGGCTGTGTTTTTGGCACAAGATATTCCACACCTCTGCTCTCTGCACTCCTTTGTGTTCCTCCTTCCCCTGCATCCTGGCACTCACATCTCACACAGTGCACATGGTGGCCCTGGCTCAGCCCTGCAGACACCCAGAGCCCAGTGCAGGGACTGTGATGTTCCAGACCCCTCTGCCATCACCAGCAGAACAAAATGGGTGATTTCTCATCTCCATGCCGTATTCACAGTCCTCACCCCATCTCCACAGCCCTCTCTGCAGACTTCTGAGCAAAGCTGATATGTGAACCCCACAGTGTGCCCCACCCCACACAAGCAGCCAGATGGTGTGGCAGGGCTTCATCCTTTGTGCCTCCCCAGGGAAACGTCCAGTGACCCCAAAAGGTTCCTTCTCACGCAGTGCGGTGTGCAGAGCACAGCTGCGCAGAGTCCACAATGCAGAGGCAAAAGGACACCCTCAGCCCCAGCTTTACTGATCTCCCACCCCTCCAAATCATGATATCCATCTCCTTGCCAGGAGGGTGAAACATGTCCCAAACACTTGTTTCATATCAGCCCTATGTCCAGTGACTCTGGGGCTGCTCCCCTGCATCCCTGGATGGCTTTTCCCAAAGGATGGGTGGACCCCATGAAATCCATCCTCTCCTGGTTATCCCATGCCCTAGCCCCAGCAGCTCCCTCCCTGGTGGTTCCCCCATTTCCCCACTCCCCAAATGGGCTCCACACACCCATTGGGTGTCCCCAAAGTGCTGTGTGGACCCAAGCTGGGATTCCACGCCTGTGCATTGGGATAGCCATTGGGAGCTCAGCTCCCCGTGAAGTAGCTCCAATCTGAGGCAGCAAGCACCAGGGCATCATGTACCATACGGGAAACCCCAGTGGATGGGACATGCAGAGGGGAAAGTGTCCCAGGGATCCCTGCTGCAAGAGGATGCCAGGGAGAGAGGCAGGTTCTTGGGACAAGGAGTAGGGAAAGGGTTGGGGGTTCTTACCTTTCTGCACACCCGGGTTGAGGGATCCCCACGCCTGGCTCTTGCCGTCTTTGAATAAAGTTTCCCCCACTGGATCTGTGGGAAAAAAAGGGGTGCGGGTGTGGGGAGGGCTGGGGCCAGGCGGGACTGTGACCCCTCAGCCGCTCCCCCTCGCCCACCTCACCGCTGTGGTGAAGCCAGGAAACGCGTCCAGGAAAAAGGAAATCCGATTTCTGACAGAGCTGGGGAAGCTTTTATATAGGAATAGAAAATCCCACAGGCTGAGGTAGGGAGATGGGAGGGAGAGAGGGGAGGGTGAAAGGAGTGGATGGGATGGAAGGATGGGTGAATGGATGGAATAGCGGAGGGTTGGGTGGATGGGAGTGAAGGAAGGGTGTTGGGGAGTGGGGAAAGGGAAAGAAAGAAAGAAAGAAAGAGGTGGATGGAAAGAAGGAGTGGTGGGTGGGTGAATGAATGGATGGGTGGTTGGATGGAGGGGTGCGTGGTTGGATGAATGGGTGGATGAATGGGTGAATGGATAGATGGCTGTATGGAGGGAGGGAGGTAAGGGAAGATGAGAGCCAGATGAAGGGGCAGCTAATGGATAAGAGTGGGAAAATGGGCTGATGGAAGGGATGGTGAATAGACAGAGGCAACAGAAAGAGGGACGAGTGGGTGGGGTGGGTGGGTGAATGGAAGGATGGGTTGGAAAGGTGAGCTGGAAGGACAGAAAGGTGGCTGGCTGGATGGAAGGGCAGCAGTATGGCAGGTGGGTGAAGGATGGAAGAAAGGAAGGAAGGAAGGAAGGAAGGAAGGAAGAAAGAAAGGAAGGGTGTGCAGGTGTGAAAAGCTGCAAGAGCAGAAGGGACGGTACGTGAGGAAGGCAGGGTTGGTGCCGCAGGGGCCGGGGCAGGGCGGGGGCCGGGGTGCGCTGTGTTGCGGGGGGGTCCGCCCGTACCTGGCAGGTACATGTTGAGCAGCAGTGGCACCGCTCCGGCGCCGTGTCTCATGGCAGCTGTGGGGGCGGCCCGCGGGCTGCATGTTTTAATATTCCTGCCCCTATTATTATTATTATTATTCCACTTTATCAGGGAGCAGCTGATGGCGAATAAATGGCAGCGGGACGGGCAGGGGACGGGCAGGGGCCGAGGGAGGCGGGGAGGAGGGGGAGTTTCCAGGCAACTCGCAGGGGCTCGGGGCCCCGGCTCCAGCAATTTCCTCCGCTGTAATTAAAGCGGGCGCTGTCGTCCCCCCCCCACATCCCCTCCCAACCCAGCCCGCTATCTGGCCCGCATCAGACTTTAATCACGGCCGCGGGTTTCTATGGAGAGAGGCTCGGGCCGCTTCCTGCCTCTTCCGCCTCCTTAACTCTTCGCAAACACGGCGCTGCCATCCCGGTTGCGAGCGGGGCTCGGACACTGCCTGGAGACCGCCGGGCCACGGCCCTCCCCGGGCTCCCCTCGCTGCACCACCCCATGCCCCCGCGGCGTGGGTAAGCGGGGTCCCACCGTGTCCTCCCCCTTGGGACCCTTGTGCAGCTGGGGGGGTCCCAGAGCCCTGGGGAGGATGAGCTCCGTGCGAGGCACTCGTGGCACCGGGATGTGGCTCGGCTCTGGCACCCCTCTGCTGCACGGATCTGTTCCCATCTTCATTAGGTTCTGAGCAGTTGGGGGGCTCTGTGCACCCACCCAACCTGCACGGCCGTGTCTCCATCAGCCTGTGGGAGTCTCTGCTGGCTGCTGAATCCCAGAGCTGGTGCTGCCCAGTTTGGCACTGGGAGACAGGTGTTCCAGGTGCCTTCAATCTCTGCAAGCATTGTGAAGACTGGAGGGAGATTCAGGGCAAGGAGGGAAAGGGCTTGAAAGTGGGGAAGGAGCTGGGGCAACTTCAATCCCAAAGAACTCCTCTGGGCAGATCACCCACAGCCACAGGTGCTGCATCCAAGTGCCATCTCTGTCCCCTCAGCCAAGAATGGACCTTCCTTCCCAACAGACCCAGAGGTGCTGCTGTCCATCCTGTCCCAGCGTTGCACAGCCACCTAGCAAGCTGCTCATCTGCCACAACCTCTCCTCTGCTGTTCCATTGATGTCTATTAAAGCTCTCACTCTGGACCCAGTGGCATTTCTTCATCACGAGGTGTAAATCCAATGGAAACTAGGATGTGTTAGTGCCAGACCTGTGGTTCTTATTCATACTGCAGTCCAAATGTGCCATTTAGGAGGAGACACCACAGTCCAGCCATGCAGCCCATGGTGAGGGTGGGATTAGGCTGGGACATCCTACAGCTGGTGGCCAATAGCTCCTCCTGGCTGAGGGTGCCCAAAGCATAGGCTGAAATGGGGACTGTGTATTCTCAGCTATCTCTTACCCTCCACCCTCACTGTCCACCTCGATCCACCGCACAACCCACGAAACTCCTCCAGCCACAGGGGGCCGCTGGGATGCAACAGCCCTTAAAAAGTGCCTCCATCCCCAAACAACTTTGGTTGTTCACCCAGCCCACCACAGCCCCTCTGCCTGCCCTGCAGCCTTTCCACAGCCTCCCAGACTTGCTTTCGCTGCCTGAGTCACTGCAACACACCGCAGGCAACAGAAAACAAGCCCGGGACACAGCAGGGTGGGGGGAAGAGCCATGAGCCTCTCTCTCCTGGCAGCCTCCCTGGTGGTGAAGATCCTGCAGCCATGAACCTGCATCACAAAAGGCATGTGGCAGGCAGCGTTAGGGTTGTGTGAGCAGGAGGTGCAGGGGGAGGTAGATGGGATGGGGGAAGACAGTGAGCATGGGGCTGAAGGTGTGATGGAACTGGAGAGTCCCGAGGGGTGCAGAAGGGCAGGGGGATTGGCGTGCCAGGGTTTAGGGAGCTCTGTGTCCTTGGGGAAGCCAAGGGATGGCAGGCTTTGGGGACTCAAGAGGCATTGTCCTGAGTTTATGGTGGAGCAGGGACAAATATGAGCTGAGACAGACCCATGGGATGAGGAGGAATAAAGGGGATGGGGCCCAAGTTCATGGGGCAATCAGGGGACGGGGGATGTCTGGAGGAGATAAGGGCTCGGGTCCATAGGGTTCCTGGTGAGGGATCTGGGACCCCTGGAGCACCCCACTGGCAATAGCAGATGGCTCACCCCCCAACCCCAATCCAGCAATCTCACCCCTTCAGGTTAGGGCAGAGCAGTCCCCACATCTTCCGTGACCCTGCAGTTCCCCCCATCACAGCCCTGTGGGTCGGTGCCCAGAAGGTCTTCACCTGCAGGTGAGCAGCGTGGAAAGCAGTGGCAAGCTGACGTGGCCTTGGGCTCCCTGCAGCCCGGCTGCTGTGCAGGAATGTGTTTGTGCAGGGGGAGAGGCCGAGCAGCCGTGGGGCCGTGGTGGGGTGGGGACAAAAGAGGGCTGGGAGAGGCTCAGTGGGGACACCCTGCAGCATGGCACTGGGAGACTGCATGGGTGCAGGGGATATTTACATGGGTCTTACTGCTGTGGAATGAGAGGAGTGTGGAATTGTAAGGTTTGAACGTGTACATTGGGTGCAAGCTCCTGTTCAGTGCACATGCGCACACACATAGACCCCAGGGCTAGGGTTTTTGGGTGCAGGGTTTGCACACAGACAGGTGTGGCCCCATTCTAGACTCCCCACCAGCCTCCCAGCCCCAACGCCAGCTGCGCTGGGGACCCAACACCCAGTGCCCCACCTTTCTGAGGCTTTGCAGTGGACATTCCACAGGCAGGGAGCACCTCAGCATGCCCCCCGGGCAGGGAGAACTTTGGCATGCCCCCCAGGAGAGCTGGGGGTGCTGGAGCAGGATGCAGGAGGATGAGGAGGCTTGGAAAGGGTGCAGGAGGAGGAGGCAGGGTGGGGCTCGTGGTGTGCCCAGGCGGAGCTGGAGCCGGATGCTGGCACGGATGTGCTGGCGTGGCCAGACCTGGGGGGGGGAGGAATGGGAAACCCCACCCAGGACTTTGGGCTGCGTGATGCTGGGGAACAGTGGGGCTGAGGCAAGTGTCTTGCCCTGTGGCAGAGCGGAGAGGGGAGCAGTCATTTTTTGACAAATGCCTTTATTTGCTACCAGGTACAGGTCTATGGCACGGCAGCCCGCAGGCTGCGAGGGCACGCACTTTGCCCCCGCTCAGTGCTGGATGCGGCGGATGGATTGGATCTGGTTGGTGTGGGCCTGGCTGCTGTATTCGCTGTACTTCTTGAACTCGCCGTTCTGTCTGTCCCGCTCCAGCACGTACTGGTAGCCCCGGTATCCTGGGTACTGGTATGCCACCCACCTGCAGGGACATCTCTGGCTCAGAGCCTAAACCCCTGCTTCCCATCCTCTCCTCCTGTTGGCCCCATGGTGAGCATGGCACAGATTTCCAAGGGAAGGACTCCCCTACATTTTGGGGTCCCCTATCCTCTGGGCTGGAAGTGTCCCACAACACCCATCTTGTGCCTCTGCCACCCCCAGGCAGTGGGACTCACGCTCCAGCGTTCACTTTGATGGATGCCACCTCCTTGTTGCCCCAGCCCATGGCCTGCAGAGAGGGGTAGTCGTCGCTCAGCTCGAACTTGTGCCCCTGGAAGTTCTCCGCTTCATACAGGATGACCTTGCTGTCATTGTGGTTCTGTGGGATGAGTGGGCTGGGGTCAGCAGCTAGCATGGGGAGGGAATGTGGCATGGGGGAGCAGGGTGCAGGGCTGTGAGCCATGAAGTATCCTTCAGCCTCACTGGGGCTGACCAGAGGATGCTGCTTTCTTGTCTCTGTGGTTCTCCTGCTCAGCATCCTCACCCTCCCTGAGGCTGCAGGGCAAGATAGGCTGCTGGAAGTGCCTCTCCATCTCTGTGGGGCTCAGTTAGATGCTGGGCACTGAGGGGTTAATATCTGGGACACAGCCCGATGCGGCACTGTCCCCCCCTCCATGCCCAGCCCCCATGCACATCCATCTGCACTGTAGAGCGGTCCTGCCAGCGAGGAGCGATCTTATCGTGTCCTCTTTATTAAAGCCCGAGCATATCTGCCTGGTGATTATTAAAAGTTGTGGGGGGGCACATGGAGGCACAGACGTGCCGGCACTGCAAGCACCCACAGCCCCGCGATGGAGTGATAGTGGCTGCGGCTGTGCTGAGGCTGGGTACTGGCAGGGAGGGGATGAACCTCACTCCTGACAATCTCCCTGAATCTGCTTCCCTATCCCAGGCTAATGGGATAAGTCTTGGGGTACCCAGTCTGGGGGTGGCTCTGCAATGCACAGAGCAGGAGTTGAGGCAGTGTTTGGGGCTAAACATGAGCCCAATGCACACCTCAGGATGCCTGCAGGGAGGTGAGAGCCACCCCTCCATCCCACATCCCCATGTAATCCATCCACCCATGCATCCCACGTCCACCCTCAATCCCCGCTGTCCTTTGCTGGCCCAAACGTCTGTCCCCATAACTCACCGCGCACTTGACGGGTCGGAAGGAGAGGAGGTGCTCGGTGCGGTATCCACTGTTCCCACTCCAAGCCTCCCACCGTGGATAGTCACCCTTCTCCAGGATGAACTGCTGCCCCTGGTATTCGGGGTACTCAAAGCCCACCCAGCTGCGGGAGAGGAGGGGGTGGGTACTCAGGGTGCAGGTCCTTGCCAGCATCAAACATCTCTTCTGCAGGCAAAGCCTCTCCCTACCAACACCTTGGCTTTGCAGGGCTTCTCTCCCTGCTTTGCAGATGGGGAAAATAAGGCACAACGCAAGGGATGCAGAGGAAGGACCTGGGTGTCACATCTCTCAGGCAGCCCCTGCGAAAGGGGTGGTGAAGAGGGCTCTGGGGGGCACTTACGGGCCGGACTCCACTTTGATGGAGCGGATCTTGCGGAAGCCGCGTTCCATGATGCTGGGGCACTCCATGAGGAACTCGCAGCGCTTGCCCTGGAAGCTCTCCTCCTCCCACACCGTGATCTTGTATTGTCCCAGAGTGTCCATGGCTTCGCTGGTCATGCGGGGAGCTCAGCTGCGGGCAGAGCTCCGGTGTCACCCAGCTGTCATCCCATCCCGTGTCACCAGCCCATTCCAGGCTGGTCAGGAGACACCTCCCATCCCATTCCCTTACAGCTGCAGGGTCTCTGGTGACCTCAAGGCCCCTCCAGCTGCAATTCCCTCTCTCTCCATGTGATATGCCCACTGTGTGGGGCTGCTCCCAAGCCCCTTGCCCTGCCTGCTGAGGGGACTGGGTGCCTGTTGGACCCGCGTGGGATGGCACATCTCTTGCAAGGATGAACCCCACACCCTCCTGCTGTCCATGGGGGCTTCACGCGAGGGGCGAAGACAGCAGCGGTGCATTGGGGTTCGGGGGCTCACAGCCTGGTACTTACTTGGTCGCAGGGCAGAGAGGCGAAGGTGGTGGTGCTGGTGCTGGCTTTCCCCAGCCCTATATAGGCGGGCGGTGAAGCGGGGCTGTGCCGGGGGGCTATGCGCTGTGTCAGCGGGGGGGCCAGGGCACCCACCGGGCAGGCTGCCGCTGTCCATTCCACTCAGGCAGTGTGGCGAGAGCGGCCCCCCCGCACCCCCCGCCGCCGACAATGAAAACGCTGGGCTGTGTTTGCACAGGGGCTCAGGGCACAATGGGCAAAGGGCCTGACGCGTCGCTTTGCTTTCTGCCCCCGGACAATGTCCCCGCTTGGCCTGGGGATTAGGGGCACTGCCTTTCCCAGGGCACCCGCAGCCTGTGCCAGGGATGGTAGTGGCGGGCAGCAGCAGCGTTGGTATGGCTGGGGCTCAGCCATCTGGGGAGATGGGCAGCACCCCCAACTGATGTCCCCACAGTGCTCCACGCTCTTTGCTCACGATTGCCCCAGCATGGCAAAAGGCCTTCCATCCTGGGAGAGGCTGGGTGAGGACAACACGGAGCCTCCCAGTGGCCCTGTTCTTGCAGCATCCCTGTCTCTCTGGGCAAGAACTGGGGTCTGAGGGGTGGCAGCACCCAGCATGCCTTTCTTGTCCCCCTCCGTGCATCGGCTGGCTGCTCTGTTCCGCAGTGCGGAGCCCCCGCGGAGCCTCGTTGTCCCCTGCGGCCGCCTTGTGGAGCGTGGACAGCGTTGTCCCCATCGTGCCGTGCCGATGCCTCCAGGTCCCAGCAGAGGGTGCAGCCTGGCAGCGCTTGGAGCCGGCTCCTGCCCAGCGACAGCGTTGTACAGCAGTTCTTTTGGCTGTATAAAGCACTGCTGACTCTATGCAGGGCACAGTGGGGTGACAGCGTTCCACCTGCTCAGGTGGCCTGGGGACATTCCTCGAAGTGTTTGAGCCTGGGTATGAGCAGCCCCATCGCTCTATGTCAGGATACAGCGTGGAGCACTGATTGTTTGGGATGGGGTGGGATGAGATGGGATTGTAGAACAGCCTGGGGCTATGGAGTGCTGTGGGGTATATGATGGAGTCGCTGCCCCTGCGCTGGAGTGTATGGAATGCAGGCTGAACATCCCATATGGGATGAGGTGTGTAGGGAGTAATGAATGTTGTGCTATAGGATCTGTTGAGCACTGATGCGATCTTATGGGCATGTAACCGTAACAGGAAGCCTGGTGCAACCTCTCAGACAAAAGCATCCAGGGGGAGGAGGAGGGAACTGGGGAGAAACTGACCCCTAGGTAGGGGCTGTGCCACATCCCTGCTTCTCTGCTCCCTCCCACATCCCTGCACACTGGGACAGCAATATGTGAGCCCCACATGGGAACAGCAGATTGAGCGGATCCCCATGGTCAGAGCCCTTCCCCATTGCACCCCAGGGTTCTGACACTGCCTGCCGTTCCCCCCCCCCTCCCTGCCCCAGGCATCCTCTGTGGCCCTAGTCGGTCCCTGCCACTAGCATTCCCACATGTCATTTGGTCACCTGCAACATCTATTGGGATGGGGACATGGGCAGGGGGAGGCAGGCGGGGGCAGACAGTGAGCCTGCTCAAGGGCAGCTGCTAATATTGGTTCTGCGAGCTGCTGAACACTCGCTCAGGGCCTGCTGCATAGGCTAATTTAATAAGGGCCCCGTGTCCCTCCCGGCTCATCCTGTTCCCTGCAGGAGCAAAACAGATCGGGTTTCTCTGGACCAGCCCCAGCACGGGGTCGCTCCCCCACTGTGCTCCCCATCCGCGTGGGCACAGCCCGTGCCCTGTATCGGCTGCCTGCCAAGGGAGGGGACATGGCTCTGCCTGGGTATCTGCCACATCTGGTGCACATCTGAGGCTCATGGCAGCCTTTCCCACTGTTATTTTAAGAAACCAGGCTAGTGGACCAGGACAGTCCCCCCAGGCTCCCCTTGCCCCATCACTGTGGGGGCTGCACTGTCACGCCTGGGGATAGAGGTCCAGGACTGGAACTGTGAGGGAGCAGATGGAGCTGGTGCCAGCCCCTGTTTGCCTTTCTCCCAGTTGCCTGGTGCTCTGTTTGTTCTGGAGATGGCTTCCTGCTGCCAGGGCTGAAACAGGTGGCTTTTATTTGCAGGGGCTGGCTGATGAGATCGGGGGCAACATATCATCTGCCCACCCAGCCTCCCTGCTCCCTTTTCCTCATTTTTTCCCACAGACTCATTTCTCTGGGAAGGATGCATATAACGTCCTGCTGTCCTCAAGCATCTTCCTGAACAAGGAGGATGGGTAAACCCCAACCAAGGTCCAAAGACACCCAGACCCCATAGCTGAGGCTCATTATTCCTCAGTGCCATTTGTTGCCTCTCTGCTTCTTGCTGGCTGTGGATGGCACCTGCGCCAGCACACAATTGGCTGGCCAATAGGTGCTGCAGGCTCCCCTGCCAGCAGGAGCCCTCACACACGTGTTCCCTGCACAGCCATCCTGCTCCCTGCCCACAGCCGGAAACATGGCAAGCAGTCTGGCAGATGTTACTGGGATTAGCTCCCACACACAGCTTGCACACACACTGCCCCAAGGTACTGGGGTCCCCGGAGCACTGCCAGGTTGTGCTGGTCCCCGTGTGTGCCCCAGATCCTCTGCAGTGCTCTGAGTGTGGAATGGGTCTTGGGGTGAACACACAATGGAGATGGAGCCCAATAGTGAGAGTGCACCTGGCACTGGGAATGGACCCCAACAGCAGGGGTCCGGCTGTGCCTTTTGTGGGTGATGTCCAGTCACCCTGCAGCCTTGCTGGGTCCCCACGCTGCTGCAGGAGCAGTGGCCTCACCTGCCTGCTCCCTGCTGTTCCCATGGGGACTAATCCCACCTGAAGGTCAGGGAGGCTCCGCCAGCTGCTCGCCTCCTGCCTGTGGATTACAGCCTGGGTGTGAGCAGGTGGCAAGTGCTGCATCTCCGCACCAGCTCTGTCCTATGGGAGAATGACAATGACCAACAGGTGAGTTCCAAAAGGGTGACAGGTCCTTCCAGCCTCAGGCGTACCCCAAACCTATCCCACCCTGCCTGCATGGGGATGCCAGGCAGTGAGGCAGGAGAATTGGTTGTCCTCATGTGCAGAGCCTGACCTGAAGCACAGCCCGCTGGTATCAGCCTCCTGCCCACTGCCCCATATGTCCCCAGCCTGGAATCCTCAGGGCTCCCCATAGTTACATGTCCTGGAGGAAGGTACTGGTTCCCTTAGTGTGCACCTCCTACATTAATCCAATCTCAGGGACACAACAGCCTCAGCCTCCTTAGCTCAGCCCTTGTGCCAGCTGTTTGGGTACCCGCAGCAGTGCCAGTTCAGGGGCATGGTGACCTTCATGGATCAGGGAGCCCCTGCTCAGCCTCAGTGTCTCGTCCAGGCATGGCAGAACCACACAGCCCCAATGGCTCTGTACAAAGCAGCAGGTCCTTGGGCTTGTCCCCCTTTGTCACACTGGCATGCACAGGGCAGCAGCCAGCTGCCACATCCTGCAGCAAAGTGGTACCTGCCCTGGGATGACACAAAGCATCCGGGCTGGGCAGGACATGTAGTGCGCTGGCAGCACCCCATGGGGAAACAGCAGCAGTGCACACCCACACCTGCACTCTGGGCACTTGAAGCAGAGAGTGTGGCAGGGGAATCACCAGGTCCACAGCTTTAGGTCAGCAAGAATGCATAAACACACACTGAGCTGTGCATATACTCATACATATGCAAATGAACATGAATGCATATATGCACACACATCTGAATGCAAACACACCTGTATGCAAATGCACGCTGAAGCACACATTGTTCCCCAGTGCTCCCCCTGCACCCTGCCCTCCCCATGCAAATTGGCCCTGTGCAGAGCTGCACCATGCAAATCCCCAGCACAAGGCCCCAAGAGCCCAACGTGATGTAAATGGGGCTGTGGGACAGTGGTGGTGACACTGGACTCTTGTGCTTTGTCCCCTGCCAGCCCTATTCACCACTGCTGGCTTGGACATGGAGCTGGGCACAGAGCATAAGCAGCTTGAGCTGCTTTATTCACCCAGAACCAAGGTGACAGCACAGAGGCCAGATCCCTGCTCCATGGGACTCAGGGAGCAGCTCACCCCAGGGCTCATCTGGATGCTGCTCCTGCTGATGCTTCAGGTGTTCCCTTTTCCCACTGGGACATGTGCACAAAGTCTGCCTCCAGCTCTTGCTGGGACAAAACCAAAGGCTTTTTGTAGTACCTGAGCCACCTGCAGAGTGCAAGGAGGGTCTCACAGGCTCAAATAGCCCCAGGCTGTGCTATGGGAGCACGTGTCGTTATGGTACATGGAGACACCGGGGTGAGCATTTCCAGTGCATACAGTGCCTCACTGTGCCAGATAGCATCTGCATCGGAGGACATGTGCAGCGGCTGGAGCATGCGGGCAGCAGGGTCTGGCTTTACTCAGCACCATTAATCACACTCTGTTTGATCCCAGGTTGGGTGGCTGCAAGGGGCTGTGCACATCGGGTTGTGTGTAGTGCTTTCTTGGCTTTTGCACTTGGCCATGTTTGGCAGCAGCAGACAGAGCACAGGGCTGCAGGGCTGTGCTGGCCAGGCTCTGTGTAGTGTCACACACTGTGTGCGGCTGTCCCCAAGCCAGGGTTGGCACTTGGCTCCAGGGGGGCCCAGGAGCAGTGTAGGGGACTTGGCTCCAGGGGGGCTCTTTGCTCTGAGCTTTTGGTTCGTCCCCACACCATGTGCTGGAAACTTTCCAAGCTCACTCAGGAAGCCCAGTATGTGCCTTTGCTCCATCCAG